AAGTTGACTGTCGGTATATCGAAGTGCTGAAGTGTTTGTACAGTAGAGCTACGATGGCTATCTGAGTACAGAACCAGAGTACGAAACTGGATAGGTACTACACTAAAGACTGCAGAGAGGTGTAAGACAGGGTGACTTTATATCCCCGAAACTTCACCGCTGCATTGGAAGACGTTTCAAGCTACTGCACTGGAAAGGATACGGTATTAACATCAATGGCGAGTACATCACTCACCTTAGATTTGCCGATGATAAAGGCCTTATAGCAGAATCGCTGGAAGACCAAAGCACTATGCTCAATGACCACAGTAGTATCTCCCAACGTCTTAAGATGAACATGGACCAAAACAAATATCATGTGTAATGTCCATGACACACCTATGGCGATAGTTTTTGGGAGCACTAAGCTCGAAGTTGATGACAAGTATGTTTACCTGGGACAAATAATAAAAATAGTCCGACTAGGTGAGTCCAACTTCGACCGAGAGGTCAATCGACGGATTCAACTCGTCTGGGCAGCGTTGAAGGAATTACATCTTCTCGTCAGGTATACCTCAAAACTTGAAAACGCGACTGTACAACCAGTGCGTGTTGCCAGTGATGACCTATGAAACTGAGACGTGGTCCTTCACTGCTGGCCGTATGAGGAAGCTCAAGATCGCTCAGCGAGCTATGGAGAGGGCTATGCTCGGGTTTCTCTGCGTGATAAACTTAAAAATGAGGATATCCGCAGTAGAACCAGAGTGACCTACATAGCCCAACGGGTTAGTAAGCTGAAGTGGCAATGGGCCGGCCATATAGCACGAAAAACCGACAACCGATGGGGAAAATAGGTTCTCGAGTGGCGGCCTCGTACCAGCGGACGAAGTGAAGGGCGTCCCCCCAGTAAATGGAGTGATGACCTGGTAAGACATGCAGGAAGTCGATGGATGCAGGTGGCTCAGGACCGTGCTTTGTGGCATTCTTTGGGGGAGGCCTATGTTCAGCAATGGACTTGTGATCGGCTGTAATGATGAATAATGATGATAAGTTGATTACAGAATGGTTTAGATTCAAAATAGGACCCGGTAGGTGGCGTTGTTGTTGAGATCCAGAAATCCGTGCGAAGCCGGAGCGGATCGCTAGTATAATAAATATTGTAATACCTGAAAAGGGTGGTTAAGTTGTAAGACATATCGTATTTTGAATTAACGCCAAATGTAACACTTAACTTACAATAAATGTTTTGAATTTAAATATGAATTTGCTCAGTACGGTGTTTGCGCGTTAGTATCGCGATTAGCTGATTATTGATTCAGTTTGCGTAGTACCATACCAAAGTAAAACGTATTTTTTTTATTAATTATATTTCAAACGACTACCCATTTTTTGCTAGTTTTTATCGCGTTTAATTTAAATTATTTTTAATTCCCAATGTTTTATAATACCCATGGCTTATGGTCTTGCAGTGGTATGCTTGGACTTTAGTTTGATTTAATTTATTATGGGATCCTAAGCCGATGAAATTATCTAGCCATTTTTATTATTGTAACTAGGATGTGTGTGACGAATCATCCGTGGTTGGAATCGGTGTCTTTTTTCGATGTTTTGTGGTTAATTATATCTGATGCTAATGTTGGGAATGATCCAGAACATGTCCAGAAACTGCAGAGTGTAGACTTCCTGGATCGTCGATGTTTCTCTTCAGCTGTATTATCGCGGGTTAATTCATCAACAAATACCCGTGTAATTTATTCATTCAAAATTTAAAAGTATGTTCATGGTGTAGTTAAACCAAATAAACCATTATATGAAGTCGCCATCATCTTGACCTCCTGTGGGCCCGTGGACTGTCCCAAGAAGGACCTCGTAAGCGAACAACTTGGTTCTTCACACAGGAAAACAAGCTTTGCGCCAAAGATCAGAGTATACCATTAACGTTTTACTTGGCGATGATCTAGCAATCCTTAAAGTCAAGTTTTTAATTTTAAAAACTTACATTCAGAGAAAGTTCACGTAAATAAAAACTGAATGTCCGAAAAAATAGGGATTTTTGGCTATAATAGATCTATTTCTTCAGTTGCATTCCTTCTGTGTCATTTGAATTTATACTCTAATTATATTATTTCAACACTCATAATTATTTGATTGAATTCCACATAAGGTAACAAAGCAATGGAATCTCAACCTTCCTGTAATATATTAGAAGTCATTTCTCTTTACCATTTGCCCTATTTCAAAAGTTACTAGATTAATATTTAATTACCACAGCAAACTGCACTTTATTTTAAATGTGTCAGAGATTTATTTTTATTTTAACTAAGCAATGTTACATATAACGTAGTAGATTCAAAAGAAATTTCAGTCACGCCACTCTACATATAATAATATTTATGTATGTTTTCTAACATTACAACGTTGTATGTGTTATTTGGAGAATAAATGTAAAAGGTTTTTATTCGTTCAATATATGGTTGAGATTTGCTTAAGACGGGCATTGTGCACGGCGAGCATTGAAGTCAACAACTGATATTATTTATATCTTCTAGATGCCGCGCTAGGCGTTTAGGGTCATTTACTTTCATTGCCCACCGTTTTTCAGTAGGACTGTCTTTGCGTATATAATGCAGTATGTGAATCATAGTTGCAGTAGGTACTTCGAATTCTCCGACAGTGTTAATCGATTACCCGTTTGAAATTTACACATAATATTTATTAATATAAATCTCAAACGGATAATTACACAACTATATTATGAAATTCTAAAGCCTCACACGTACATAATATATTAATATATTCATGTACAGTGATTTGAAAAATTACAGTTGTGTTTACATGAGATAATTTCATGCCCTCTCCTTTGTCTTTTATGTTTTAAAGCAGATATATAAATATTTAAAGGCTGTTGAAACGTGTGACAGAAATTATTTTAAAAGTCAGAGCGATTTTATGCCAAAATCGTAGAAGCCAACAACTTAGTATGCATAGGTGTATGCACCGATTGTTTAGATATTTCTTGCGCAAGTGCCGTTAAACACTTGTGCGTTCACGGCATAATGCAGTAAGTCATAAAATCTTATTGAATTCAGTAAGCGGCCCGCGCAATTTGTATTCGCATACTGTCAAACAGTAAGAGGAACGACTTCACACGTCCGCCCCCGCCGGCGCCGGAATCGCAAATGCATTTCGCATTTGGAATTTAAAAATAATGAAATGATAGCGTTCGAAATTCGAAATGACCAACAGCGCGTGCCGGCTCATTCGTAAAATTGAATAGACCGCGTTCCGGATTCAAACGACAACATTTCGGCATGGCGCGTACGCGCGGAATGTGAATGTTGGACCGCCGCGGCGGGATTTCGTACTTGATACGATACTTGAACTACCGTTGCCAACTTAATAAAAACTATGACCTAATCTGTAAAGTTACAATCCTAGCTAAACTTAAATCAAATGACTGAAATAAAATAAATAATTTCGAACAATCTTCTTAATGGTATAAGACAGGAGACTTAAGTAAAGGCCGTTCTTCTCAGTAGTTTCTAGAAGTACCCTAGTACGAGCAATAATTGATAATGGAATGCACTGATGATATCAATAAATGACGACAGTGATGAACATTCTAAAAGAAATCTTCGTGTAAGTAAAATATGACGATGTGACGTTGGGGGAAGAAGAAACATAGGTTTGTATGTGCTTTTAGGTTTTCTACTTGTTGTAGATATGCCTCCAAAAAATGTTACCACAATGTTCTCATCAATACAAACAGTTTGACCATAGAGAAAAAAAGAAATTATGTGACCATAACCAATGCATAATTTGTATAATAGAATAAATAAAATGGCCGCCAGTCCGTCACAGTTTTATTCAAACCCGCCAATTATATAAAAAGACAAAATTCAGATAATACATCAAAATATAGGTTGCCTGTTTTTGGGGCTGTTCTCCGCCGGTCCTAATTGCTGTCTGGTATTTTACCTGGTCCGGTTGTGCGATGTTTGTTTTAGGGCTTCTTTGTTTTTGGGCCCGCGGGTAACGCGGTTGTTGATTGCTTTTAAGGAATTGAAAAACTTGTTTGATGTTTTTTTTTTGGTTGAGTGAGGTTTACGTACTGCTTTTTGGAGCCTTAAAAACGAACTTTCACGTACATTGTTTAGTTTAATATTCATTGTGGACTTAGCTTATACTAATTTAATATTCAAGAGCTTTTTAAGCGTCAGTAGTCCTATGGTAGGATGCGGGCCGCGAATTCAAAGGTCATGGGTTCCAGTCCGCTATTCGACTTTTGTCGTGAACCTCTCTTAACTCATGCATTTTAACTTACCTTACTAAGTGACATAGCCATATATTACATGTATATTTTTTTTAATATTTCGGAGCTGCACATAGATATTTAGTCACAGAGCATGCAATAGCTGCGCCGTCGCGTGGTTATCACATGCACTGTGCATTTAGTGATTCGTGTAGAAGTTAAAATTAAAAACTCTAATATCAGCGACGAGACATAGTAGCCATGCGGTAGCGAATTATGTAGTACGAATGGCTCTGCTCAACCTGTAAGGGACCACTCTCTCACAGAATACCAGCGTGAATTGTAGTTAAATGCTGCCGTGTTGCTTATAGTGAGTGATGAGTACCGGGTACACTTTTTGCTGGTAACGAACTATTATAACTTAGTCTCAGCGACAAAGCGTTCAGATTTTGATTCTCAATATATCAGGTGTATTGTGTGCTCGTTTGTTACTTTAATTCTATAACGATTTTGTTAACGCGCTATTCCATCTGTCTTCAGGGTTGACAACTCGTGGATTTCATTCTTAATCAAGGACCGACCGACTGACGATATAGAGAGAGCTACATTTAGGGTCTTTCGGCAACACTATGCACTAACCATCAGGTGTTCGTTTGTCATTGTATTCTATTAGTGTTTCTAATGACGTCATTATAATTTTACCGCTGTTTTGTCCCACTGTTTTAGATTTTAAAACAGACTGGAATTAATTTATTTTTATTTGTTACAGAAACCCCTCCTCCACCATACAGTCGGATCGTGATGGATGACGTAAAGCCTAAAGGTTAGTGGAAATTTAATCTTTATACATATAAGAGAAATACCACGGACTCCACTCCACTAGTTATGGCACGAATGGTTCCGCTTGACCGGGCAAGGACCACACTCTCACAGAATACCAGCATAAAACAGCAGCTTAACGCTGTTGTGTTTCGTATGGTGAGTGTAGAGAACTGGAGATCCGTTTTACTGGAAACGAGGCATTCCATCGTAGTTCTCACGGGTGACTACGCGTCTGCATTTTGATTCGTCATCGAGGATAGATGTAGATGTCTAGGGCCACAGCAATCACATACCATCAGCTGGACTGTGTGCTCGTTTGTCACCCTTATCCTATAAAAAAAAATATTCCAACTTGTGCACTTATTTCATCTTTATTATACTAGGTGGTAGAACTATTTTTCGGCCTAGGACTAGTATTTCTCCCTTGTGAAGATTGTCAGGCTGTAACTTCTGTACTATTAAACAAAAACTATATAAAACGGTTTATTATAGTATAAATGAATACCTACATGGGTTGATAATAACCCCTGGTAATGAGGTGGTCGCTTCCAAGCTGTTTCTAAAATAAATGTTGTGAAAAGTTTGTACAACCCATAGACATTGTCTATGGTAGGTACAACCTTTTGATACTGTATAATTTACTTTAAAAAAGAAGGTCCCGCTGGGTTTCTTCCTGGTTTTTAACAGGGCAGAGGTTTTTATCCCAAACAGTGGTTAAGTAAAAAATGGTCCAATAAGAATTATATAATCTATATTGAATTAAAAAAATATATATTCTATTCTATTCTGTGAGGCATTCCATCTTAGTCCTCAGAGGTGACAACGCATCTAAAGTTCTAAAGCCCTCTTTGGTTGAACTTGTACAGTAAGTTCGTTAGTCATTTAAAAAAAATATTTGATGCTAAAATTGTTTAAAATAAATTATAATTAAACTCATTGTGTAATTCAGACAATTTTTTTATTTTTCGCGTTTCTATTTGCTGCCAGGTAGTCCAGCGAAAATATAAGCAATCTATTCTTTCATTAAAAATTACACATGATGGTGACATTAAAACACAAAAGAGTTCACACGTAAGAATTTGATTTTATATACAAATATACAATAATTCATGAAATGTCTTTGAGTATTTAACTTGCTCTTATGACACATGTTATACATTTAGTACTCTCACAAAGTAACAGCGCACGCAGAAGCAAGAAACTAAGCGCCGTCTAATTCAAACTTATCGAGCCATAACTAAGAGATATTATGGTAATATTGAGATTTATTTCGTATAATACGGATCATAGATCGTTGAGCGGCGTCGAAAAGCGCGGGATCGAGGAATCCGGCCGAGAGTCGGCGGCGCCCGAGTCTTCCTGGAAATTAGGGACTGTTAGTGTTGTCCTTCGCGTTTTAATCGATAGTTTACTTTTTAATAATTTAAAATTTCTGGTTGGCTGTTACTTTTTTATCGGGCTACTAGTAATAATGAAAAGAAAAGATTAATGTATTAATTAAAAACGTTATATTTTACAATAATTATAACGGATTTATAGCAATATACCTCGACTTGGCTTAGCAAAGGAAAGAATTTCAAAGACATCGAAATTTTGTTACGCTTTATTAATGTTAATTAAGGTAAATTAAGTCTTGTTTTAACTTTAAATGTAGGTATTGTCTTTATGCTGACAAGTTCGCTACGTTATATTCTGTATGTATCATAAAAGAAGACAATAGCAAAATGGCAGTAAGATCTCATGGCTTTCGATAGCTATAACATGATGGTTACACGAGACCTAACACAGACCAGGGAAGGGGGGTAGTGTCAAAGGTTCCAGAGGCTTGGTAAAGCAATCACCAATCCGTTACCTAAGTGTGCCGATTATGGTATTTTTTTTAAATCGAAAGAGGTCCAACTGTGAAGTTTTCTGGCTGATAAAAGCAAAAGCAGAAGAATAAAATAATACTATCTCACTTTCATTGAAATTAATCGGAGCGTTACACAATGCTGCTAATTGCGCGCTAATTCTTTCTTTCATGTGATACTTTCTGATATCCATCGAAAGGCCTCCATTATATCCATCCTTAAATTAATCCAAACATTAAAGCGGTAAATGTATGTATTTTTTACAAACTATAATGTAGAAATTCAAATTAATTCTCAAAATCAATTCAATATAAAGTATGAATTTACTTAGTGTAAATTACTATTATAGCTAGCAATGAATACTAACTACAAATCTTCACAATACAAAAGTGTTGACATTGTTGAAAGTGTGGTTTACAATTTACTATGAAAAAAAAGGCTCTATCTGGTTATTATCATAGCTATTTGCAAAATTTAAATATCGATCTCCATTTTCTCGATAATCAAGGAAAATATCGCGAGGAAACCGGCATGTCTGAGAAACATAAAAGGTTAATAGTGAATAATAACAACTTAAATGTCCGACTCGCGCGCAGCCCTATTAGAGCTGGTCCCAGCGCGCGCATTCCAACGTAGGCAGCCATCTTTAAACTACATTATTAATGCTTACGGCGGCAAGGCAAACCCTGTGCTTTCTTCTCTTCCTCGACGCAACGGCAACCACGATGTATTTGTTTTTAATAAAGCCTTATTTGCCCTCGACCCTTACAATAATCGAATTTGTTGACAATCGAAAGATAGATAATGCGAGAAAAAGTCTATGTTATGTTGCATATTCATCCTGTCACTAATACATTATTTCATTACCAAAAATATTTAACACTGTTGAATGGATATAATTAGCATTAATTAAGTTTGTACTGGTTTAATACTTTTGAAAGTTGTTAAAAATATGTAAATTAATAGATTTTTTTTTAAAAGTATTTTATGAAATAAAGTTAAATAAGCATCGTAGGTATATCGTCTAGAAGTTGAAAAATATTTAAAACTCTAAATGATAAATGTTGGCAAACTGACAAAAATGCAGCTACTGGTATCGTTATCCTGCAATCGTCTTCATATAGACCAGGATCAACATATCACGTCACAGGAAATCCCGCCATAATCAATGTTCGCAAGGGGTGGTTCGCTAACTTTTCCATTATAGCTTCGGGATTCCCTCCAGCGTTCATCATAGGGTTTCCCGGGGCGCAGACGGGCTCCAACCCTAAAGGTTTTCACGCTTGTCTAAATTTGCGTGATAAGCAAACTTATTTTACCCCCTTTGTTATCAACCGTGACATCTACTAAATTAAGTGATTTAGTAGATAGATGTTAGCCGATAAATATTAAAATTTCTAGTTTAATTAACTCAGTAGGCTTGAGGTGTAATGCTCGGGTTTTTGAAATTTGTGTGTTTATTAATTTATAAGTATAGGATTGGTATATGATTGTGTGCGAAATATACAATTTTTAATTGCTGACTTCATTATCAGGTTGATACCTTATATCATAATAATGGCGATTTTAATGAATTTGCAAAAATCGGAAGTATAAATTATGTACTTCAGTTTAAAATAGGTCGGTTCGACCGGGGTAGGACCATGCTCTCACAGAATACCAGCGTAAAGTAGGAGCTTTATGCTGCTATTTCGTATGGTGAGTGTAGAGAACCGGAGACCCTTTTACTGGTAACAAGGCATTCCATCTTAGTCCTGGGGTGACGATGCATCTACATTTTGATTCTTAATGAAGGATAGATGTAAATGTTTATACCATAGCGTCTTTTATCATCAGGTGGATTGTGTGCTCATTTGCAAACCTCATTCTTTTTAAAAAAAAACCTCTTCTAGACTACTGAATGAATAGAAGAACATAACAGATTTTTTAATGGTAAAAACTTACTAACTTAACTTATAAGCTAAGTAAGCCGCAATGGACTGGCGCGCCTGCCGCCTTAAGCCGACAATACATATTGGTTAAGCCCCAGCCAACGCGAGCGTAGGCAAATTGATACAAGGCGAGTGCTAGTCTACATGTTGGTCAAGTTTGGACGAGTGAACATACTGACATGGCCAACTAACATGTGGACGCCACTTGCCGAGTGCTGGCGAGCGCCTTTGATTTGTGCAGAAAAATCGACACTGTTCCAAAGTGTGACGATTTTCGGCGTGCGATCCCGAGTGATGGCAAGGCATACCAAACAAACCGTATACACATTGGCTCTAACTTGCACTCGGCTAGCTAGGCGAGCTACGATGAGCAATGGCGAGGCTAGGCATATGTTCTGTTCAAACGTTGTTACAATCACTTCCCACGATAACTTGAGAGACAGTTACCCAATGAAGTTGTCGCTTTGAGGTGTCAAAGGGCGCGCGCGCATCATAACAACTTCATGGTGTCGTTTTTAGCTGTCAGCAGACCGACAGTTAAAACCATTCAACCCGATGTGGGTGTCCGATCCGACCGGAATTCCGAACGGGTCGGACACACGCATTCGGAATCTCGTTTTGCCCGCAAAATTTCGAACGGATAACTACTGTACGTGTGTGATGGGTCCTTGATTTTATATGAAATTTATTCGGAATTCCGTATGTATTAGGTCGACCTAAAGGCAAAGTATAGCCATTCAACGAGGAAACGCAGCGTTCATTGCACGCCAAAATCATCGTGATACCACGGGGAGTAGGACTGTATGATAATTTATCTTTTTTTTATGTTAGTTTTTTTTAATTTTGTATATATTGTAATGTATTGTTAACAATAAATTGATATAATAATTATAAAATTACAAGTCAAAAGTATAAACTGCAATTATATTGCCTTAATTTAATATACCATCTAGTATTTTCACCGGTGGTTGTCGGCATTTCAGAGCAGCATCCTCTTCTCACGAACCCATTCATTATATTAATCCTTCGGCGGGGACGTGGCGTTTCCGTCCTTACGCGTCAGGGTTTCGAGTGTTTTCGGCTCGAAAGCGCCTTGTTTTTAAGTGATTCGCTCGGATATCGGGCGAGTGTTGATAAGGAGCGTATCCATTAACGTTATCGTCCAGTTATCAAGGCGCCGGCGCCGTCCGGACGACACGAATATTGCCGGTCACTGTTTG